TCAAAATTTAATTTCCAGGCTTGAAAAATGTGCTGTTTGGACATTTAAATGAACACATTATTTGTTTTGTATGAGTGCATCATATATTTTTGCTTTGTTGATTTGTAAAAAATAAGATGTGAAAGGGAAGCCACAGGGAGGAAGTAGGATAACTTGTTACAGGGAGGGGACTGTAATCATTGAGATGAAGCATAATTATGATTGGTTGAGGGTACAGCTGATGATGTTGTCTGTTAACCTTTACTCAATGCACAATAAAATATTGAAAGAAACAGAAAAAAAAATGGTTGCCAATATTTGACTGAGACTGTGAGGAAAAATAAGATAGCTATCAAAGCCAATTAAAAATATTCTGTTCACTGCGAACACCACTATCATCCCTGCTTTCTTGTTCACTTGAAGACCTATTTAAGAGTGTCAATCCTCTGTGAAACATACCATAGCCATGAAGTTCTTCATAAGTCTGGGAAGAATCCTTATACCTCTATTTAAAACAAACAAACAAACAAACAAACCTCTGGAAAGCTTTCCTTGATCAACTGCACTAATTCTAATAAGTATTTCTCCGTTCCCTACTGTTTCTTATTTAGATCACACAAATTACACTAATAATTTTATATGTTTCAATATGTTTTTTAGTTTTATTGCCTCCTAGATCACTCTTCAAAAGCACAATTCTTATTAATACGGGTACCTTCTTCCCATACACTCGTTACCAGTTTATTTAAAGTTATAAAAATGTAAACTCACTTTTTGTAGAAAAGTATAACTTAATTATCTCAACTAAACCCTCATTCTCATTTCTCCATAATCTATTTTCTGAGCCTTTCTTACCCATCATAGTTTTCACTGTCAAAGATCTTGAAAAATTTGTCCATAGTCAAATTTTCTATTGCTTCTCTAACTTCAGTACACAACCCACTATCATTTGGCTTCTGCCACATTATTCTACTGAATTTCTATCATCACCAAACTCACTTGTTAGCCATATCAAATTTCTTTGTCCTGTTTTATATCCTGCATTATTTGAAACAATAATCCAATCTTTTGACTTCTTCACCTCTCCTTACTTCTGATTTCTCCTTCTTTGAGATGTCTACGTCTCTGGCTCTATTTTTGGTTCACCTTCTCCTGCCTATTCCCAAAATGTTGGCTGCCTGACCCAGACCTCATGATTACTATCCTCTGTTATTTTTTAAATTTTGTTTTTCCCCTCTAACCTTCATGTTCAGTAATGCTTTCCAGGCACTAGACTCCAACCACAAACTATGTGCTGAAGATAGCTACCGTCTGTATCTCCAGTTTTGTTCTCCTAAATTCCAACCTAGTATAACTAACTCTGATTCCATTTGACTGTCTTGAAGGCATTCAACTTATCACTATAAAAGTGAACATTGTTATCTCTCCTACAATCTGTTCTTTCTCTTCTAATAATTGGTAGTGGGGGGGTGCACTTTATTTTCTAAAAGGGCCTTTAAACAGAAATGGAAGAACGATAGAATACAGAATCAACTAATCAATAGCTGAAGTCCATGTTTAAATTATTATTGAGGGAATAAAAGAAATAGGATAAAAGCTATTCTGAGGGAAAAAAAAGAAGATAAAGGGTTAAGGAAATCAGTGTAAAACAATGATAGCTTTGGACAAAAGTAGAAAAGAAGATATGAAAGGAAGCAGGGTAGCACTTCATACTAAATTCTGGTGCTACATCCTTTCCCTGAATGATCTCAACTCCTGCCAAGAATTCAACTTCCTCCTCCCAATACTACATCTCCAACCCTGACGTCTCTCCAGAGTTCCAGACTCATATATCCAATTACCTACTGAGCATCTCTACCAGGATGCCCTACAGATAACTCAACATTAATATGTCTTAAGGAGAACTCATCCCAAACAGCTTTGTCTAAGTGCCTTAGTCCCCTATACCAGAAACCAGTCACCATAAGCATCCCCACATTCCTTCATCTTCATCTCTGACATCCTTATGAATTATATCGACTAAATGGCTCTCTAACCCCACTTTCACTGCCTTAGATTCTGACTTTAATTACTGTGGCATCCCCTAATAGGTCTCTCTGACTCCAATCGCTCCCCTTTTCTCTGCATTTTCTACATTATCTTGCGTGTTCTTTCTGTAGAAATCACTATAGAACAAGGCAAAACATAAACTCTTTCCAATGGAGATTGATAAATAAAACACACAAGTTGAGATGGAAAGAATACCCAAGGCAGTATTTAAAAAGAGCTAATATGGTGGAACTGCATACCTCTGGGATTTAACCACCTTTATAGATAATATTGTAATGTTTTTTTTTTTTTTTGTCTTTTTTTTTCTCTCTCTCACTATCTGAGATAAGCCCCTTAGAGAATAAGTGTTGTCTTTTTCAATGTAATTCATAGACCAGAACATAATACCTATTATAATAAATAATGAATGGCCTGATTTTTTAGAGGAGAAATAACTTAAAATCCAAAATTAGTATATCACTGCATAGCTAGCCCCTGGGGTGAATAAATGATGGGGGAGAAGAGAAAGGAGAATGTTAAATTAGTAAAGTAGGTTGTAATGCGATTCTAAATAGCCTTGAA